ACACACCTATAGGTTTTTCCAGCTTACTAAGAAAAGTTCTCACCCTTTCTATCTCCTCTTGGTTAAGATGGACAGTAACTTTTGGATTATTTCCTTCATTTGTTTCAGCAGTAACATAAACTTGTCCTCCTTTTCTTAAGGAGTCTCCTCTGTGTCTGATGTGAACATGACCTATGATAAGGGCTAGAGCAAGGGAAACAAAGAAAGCTTTTCAACAAATATTGTTGGTTGGCCAAATTGTGTTTTGGATTAATCAATTAATGGGTTCTAGTTTAGTTTTATTGCAAGTTGTAATAAGGGCCCAATTGGAAATTTAGTTATCAGTCTTTGGGAGACCAAGAGGGTGCATAGCTGATTGACTTTTGGATGCCACAATTTCAGTTATAATCAATCATTAAGTAATTTTCAATTCTTAGGTTAATAAATCATTATTAGCATTTATTTTCCTTTAATGAATATTTGTAACTCTGATGACAAAGCTTCTTTATAAGCTGAACCATTTTTATCATAAATAACAAGTTGAGTTTTATTTTTGGAAATATTAGAGTTTATCTCTTTTATCTTAGTGAGAGTGATTCTCCTAAATTCTTGAGTGATTCAAGAACCCTTGGCTGTATCAAAGGACTGTCACATCCTTTGTGTGTTGCCTCCCTTGGAAAGAGTGATTCTTTCCTTCCACCTTCTTTCTAATTCCTAAATTTCTTACAAGGTTTTAACCCTAAAGATCCTAAATTACCCCTTGTGATTCATATCAGTTGGTATCAGAGCCCCGGTTTAAAGGTTTGAACATCAAATTGATGGCAGAGGAGAATAAAAAGAAAATGAGAGAAAAATTTCTTCAAGAAAAGAAAGAAAAAAAGAAGAGTGAAACACGTGAAGTGAAGCAGAGCTATTTAGCCATAAAAAGTGAGTATAATGTTAGTTCTACATTCAATTTATCAGACTTATCTCTTTTTTATGTAGATGATGAATCCGATTTGAGGACAAATCCTTTTCAAGAGGGAGAGAATGATGTGAACATGACCTATGATAAGGGCTAGAGCAAGGGAAACAAAGAAAGCTTTTCAACAAATATTGTTGGTTGGCCAAATTGTGTTTTGGATTAATCAATTAATGGGTTTTAGTTTAGTTTTATTGCAAGTTGTAATAAGGGCCCAATTGGAAATTTAGTTATCAGTCTTTGGGAGACCAAGAGGGTGCATAGCTGATTGACTTTTGGATGCCACAATTTCAGTTATAATCAATCATTAAGTAGTTTTCAATTCTTAGGTTAATAAATCATTATTAGCATTTATTTTCCTTTAATGAATATTTGTAACTCTGATGGCAAATCTTCTTTATAAGCTGAACCATTTTTATCAGAAATAACAAGTTGAGTTTTATTTTTGGAAATATTAGAGTTTATCTCTTTTATCTTAGTGAGAGGGATTCTCCTAAATTCTTGAGTGATTCAAGAACCCTTGGCTGTATCAAAGGACTGTCACATCCTTTATGTGTTGCCTCCCTTAGGAAGAGTGATTCTTTCCTTCCACCTTCTTTCTAATTCCTAAATTTCTTACAAGGTTTTAACCCTAAAGATCCTAAATTACCCCTTGTGATTCATATCAGTGTCCTCCTTCTCGATCTCGATTTAAAGGATTCCCATGTAAATTCCAACACTTCTCTTGAGTATGATGAGACTTATTGTAGTAGGTACACCAGAGACCATCACTTTTCTTCTCCACATTTGTTGATCCTCCTTTCTTCTGTTCGGCTACCCCCTTTCTATTCAACACTATACGAACAAGTTGGGCCCACTTCAAATCATTTCTTCCATTTAGTTTATATGCAGAATGGATATTATACAGTTCTCCAGATTGCTGGGATTGGATATTCTCCATTTTTGGGGTTGGGTTCACAACTTCCTCTTCCCTTGACATTATAGCAAAAAGGTACGATGCAACAACAATGCAGGTTGTCGTCTTAGGGTTAAGAAAAATGCAGCAGCAATGCAGACTGCTGTCTTAGGGTTAAGAAAAATGTAGCAACAATACAGGCTGTCGTCTTAGGATTTATAGTGCCCAAACAGAACTTCTTAGATTGAAAGCTCTGATACCATCTGAAAAATTAGATTAAATGAAATCTTATTTTATTATTTTAATACAAAGAGATCATACAAGTATATATACAAGAGACCTAAGTTATTTTAGAAAATATAATAACTCTATTTTATTCTAGGATCTCTTGATTTATGGGATTGTTCCTAATTATTCAAATCAGTATAGATTACAAATTTTCTAATTTATTCTTTTCTAAAATACTATTTGATTTTCCACAATAATCAATCTTTTAAATCATATTTATTAAAATAAAAAAAATTAAGAATTTTTTTAACCTCAATAATCAATCTTTTAAATTATATTATTAAAATAAAATAAATTTAAGAATTTGTTTACAACAATTTTAAATGAGAATAAGAATGATAGAAATATTTTTATTTTTATTTTATTTACAAAATAACAATACTATTATAATAATGATGTATAATATTTATTTAAATATTTGATCAATTTTTATAAAAGTATTTTAATTTTAATTTTAATTTTGATCTTATAACTTTTTTCTAAAAGAAACTACTTTTATTATAAATTAAAAAAAATGTTTATAAAAAAAATAAAATCTAGAAATTTATCATTATTTCAAATTAAAATATTATATTAAATCAATATTTAATTACAATAATTAATTTTTAAGTTCTCGAAAATAAAAATATTATAAAACATGGGTGCTTATATAAAAACTACCCTTTGAAAAAAAAACTTGTAAAAAATTAATATAAATTGTTTAAAAGTACATAATATAATAAATCTTATTTAAATAAAATAAGAACTTATGAATTGTTGAAATCTCCTAATAATTAATGTGAAAACCCAAACTTATAAGTTTTTCAATGAATCTCTTCTCTATATTTTATTTTTTTTATCATTCATATTTAGTTTGTTTTCTCTCTTTCTCTTGTAGCACTTACAACATTTACATTATTTTCTTTTATGTCTCTATATAACTGTTCTTCTCTCTCTATCTCTTTTTTTTTCTATTCTTATTTTTTTTCTTTTTATGTTAATATATTTACGTTTTATTGGCCGAAAAAAATGTTCCTTTTGCTATTTTTAATTTTACAATTAATTAGTTAAATGTAACTAAATGCACCAACTTAATTATTTTATTATTATTTTTAACACAAAAAGTTATAGTTTACTTTCTAGTAAAGTGAAAAATAAAGTGAAAGCCGATATTATTGTTTTGATATTTCGTTTTATCTTTTTATGAATGTCTTCTGTTTCATTGGAATAAATATATGTGTATTTTTTGAACGAGTTGTTCAAAAAGACTTTCAAAAGAAAAAATATAAAATTGATTTCACCATAAATTAAATAAACTTATAAACATGTTATAAATAGAAGTTTGGATTATTTTAGAGAAACTATATGAGAAAATTTTAATAAGTTAATTAATATATAAGCTAATTTTAATTTATATATACCCTACATCCTATATATAAAAAGGATATCCAATTATTCTAATATAACTTTTAATAAATATTACATACTTGATTATTTTTTTTCAAAACTCACTGTTACATTAAAAATTGGTTTCACATATATAATATATACAAAATTTGGAAATATTTTTAATATTTTTTTTTCAAAGTTGTTTTGATAAAGGTGTTATATATATATATATATATATATATATATATATATATATATATATATATATATATATATATATTGATTAATATTTTTTAAACTTATCAATAATTGTTTTTAAAGATGAATAAGTAGTACTGATATCACGATTAATAATTTATAATTTTTTTATTTTATTCTCAAATACTAATATGATATTATTCAATACTAACATCAAACGTAAGTTATTTAAAATTTATGTGAATTTAATTTTACTCACATTTTAATATTTTTTAAGTTTTACCTAATCTTACGTGGAGTCAATGAGTCGCTTTAGTTTACTTTTTAAAAATAATTAATTTTAAAAATATATTTCTAAAATTTAAGTTATAGTACAATTAATTTTAATTTTAGATATATAATTATAATTTATATTCTTCAATCTGTAAATTATATACTATATTCTCATTTAACTCATATTAAATAATTTTAGTAAGAAATAATTTTATTTTATCTAGATCATAATTAAAATAGCAAATATGTCTGTCAATTACTTATCATTATCTTATTTAATTTACCCTTTGCTTCAATACAAGAGTTAATATTATATTTGTTTAGAAAAAATATTTTTTTCTTATTTAACATCTTAAAATAGTTATTTCCTTTCTTGTTTTTTTTTACTTTCTTTTCAGTATCTTATTTAACATCTTTTTTTTTAATTAAAGTTCAAATATTGATTCTTAAGAGTTTATTAGAATAAAGACACATATCATAAACAAAAAAATACTTATAAAAATATATAGGTTTAATTTTTCTTTTATGCTAGACACATCTCATCTAGGGTTTATTAGAATAAAGACAGTATTTTACAAACATCGTAATTTTATTTAATTATTTTTACAATTTTAAATTTTAATTATTTGCAAGTATGGTTCCCTAATTAATTTAGGTAATTTTGATGTTTCCATTTTTTATTATTCGTAATTTTGTTGAATTATAAAGGTCATGTAAAATTATGCCTAATTATTAAAAATTAAGGATAAGAACTTGCGTAAAAGGAAATTTAAGAACTAAGATTACGAATAACTAAATATTAAAGGAATTAAAGATCAAAATTGTGAATTTTATAAATTATTGATTACAACATTACAATTAAGCCAAGTTTTTGTAAATTATCTACCAAAGACAAATACTAAGAGATATTTATATCATGAGTTGAATTTAAACTCATCAACAAAATACCAACGCAAATTGTGAAGTTAACAAGCTTCTGTGAGACAGTATAGTAATGTTAGGAATCTAAAATATGGAGAGAAAGTAGATCAGATTGTGATGGTTGGGGAAGGAAAGCCAAGGGCAGTGATTGTTGGTGGTAGCATAGCTGGGATATCAACTGCACATGCTCTTACCTTATCTGGATGGAATGTGATTGTGCTTGAGAAAACCAATGCACCTCCTACAAGAAGTTCAACTGGTGCAGGTCTTGGACTTGACCCTCTGTCTCAAAAGAATCATTCAGTCATGGCTTCCACAGCCACAACTTTTCCACAATCTCACTCTACCACTAACTATAGACCATGTGCCAATCTCTTTGTCTTTGCTTTCCACTAAACTATCAATATATAGCCTTTTCTATCTTTTCTTAGTTTGTGTTTTCTTTTTTGCTCCCTCTTTTCAATTAGTGTCTCTTGACAGGGTGAATTTTGTTGTAAACAAAGAGGTATTGCAAAACTTAGAACGTATTCCCACATACTGTAGAGACTGTTTTAGAGAACATGTTCTCCCACGTTGCAGAAGACCATTTCAGAGAACGTGTTCTCACAAGTTGCAAAAAAATGTTTTATAGAGAACGTTGCAAAATAACGTTTAAGAGAAAGTTACATATAACGTTTCACCCACTCCGAAGTCTTCCCTACAGACTTTCTCTTATAAATAGAGATCACTTCACATTCTTCAGAAATACACCTCTCTCATCTTCTTTTCTCTAATATTCTTTCTGTTATCCTGGGTAAATTTCCTCTTTTGAGAGTTTCTTGCTAGTTTTTGAGATCCTCGGATATTCCGAGAAGTTTCTATTGTATCCTTGGGGACTTGCGCAATACACCGTGGATAAGTCCTTAAGGGCACTGCTTATACATGCCTCAGGAATAAAGTTTGTTCGTATCTCTGTCAGCTTTTACAACAATCTTAAGGACTTATAGTTGACAGTACGAATATCAACAACTTTCTTCAACAGTTTTACAATATTGGATAGTGAAAGAAAGAGAATTATGAAGCGCTCATGGATCAATGTTAGTCTTCTAATTATGATTCATGTGATAATCAATTTATGTATGTTATTATATGACTATGATTCATGTATGTTATTATGTGAGAATAAAGAATCTAAACCTGAAGATTAGTTTTATAGAATGAGTAAAGTATAAAAATTACAAATTAAAATACATGTGGTATCAGAACCATACTTATTAGATTTATGATTTTTCTTTTATGATAATTTTTAAATTACGCTTTTCCCAAATTAAGATAAATCCTAATTATGAATTTAGGATTTCTATATCATATTAACATGAACCCTAATTTATGTTTTCCATTACAATCATTTTCTTATTGAAGTGTGAATGTTCCTGTAATTATTATTGAAAAAACAAATTATGTGATTGGGTTAGAGGTGAATCATGTATGAAATTTGTTTCACTACATGTTATAATTATGATAGAAAATGTTTGAATGTTATAATTATGATAGAAATTTTTTGGATCAAAGTGATGTCATCAAACACATGTTCCTTTTTCTGATCTATTACACCAATGCAACAGAGAAAATGAAAAATGCATTATGCATAATTATTTTATGTTATGGGAGAAATTATGCAAAATTATTATATGTTATGGGAGATTTTCTTTGTGAATAATTAGCAGTTATATGTATGCAATACATGACTTAGATCTACATATTATTTTGTTCATACGTGTGTAGGATATTATTTTGTACATACGTATAAGAAAGTTTGAGATTGTATGAAAGCAATGGATCTAACCCCACTTTATCTTCGAGTAGAGGGAAATTATTTTGTCTGTGGAAAGTCAGGTCATCATGCACCTCAGTGCAGATATAGAATAAGAAATGATAATCCTCCTAAGGCAAATTTAGCCAGTGGAGAAGATACAATTATTGCGGTCATTTCCCAAATAAACCTTGTGACAAATGTGAACAAATGGGTGGTAGACTCTGGTGCTACTAGGCACATCTGTGCAAACTTCTACCTCCTACATTAGTGTGAGGATGAAGAAGAACATGTTTATCTTGATTCCAGGACAACTCCTGTCTTAGGAAATGGAAAAGTTCTTCTAAAGCTCACATCTGGAAAGACTCTGGAAAGACTCTGGCCATTCGAATCTGATAAAATTGTTATGACAAAAAATAATGTGTTTGTAGGGAAGGGATATTGTGATCAAGGTTTTTTTTTTACTTAACATTGTTAATAAATATTGTTCTTCTGCTTATATTATTGATTCATATGATTTGTGACATTTATAGATTATTACTCTACATACACCAAAATATACTTAATCAAACAATTCTAGTGCACCAAATAACCTCTAAGAGAAGATATACTTACAATGTGTTTTTTTAAGAAAACTGGTAAAACTTCCTATGAGTTATGAAGAGGTTATAAACCTAATCTTAAATATTTAAGAGTGTGGGGGTGCCTAGCTAAGGTAATGTTACCCAATCATAAGAAAAGGAAAATAGGTTCTAAATATGTTCTTAGGCTATGCAGAACATAATGTTGTCTATAGGTTTCTTGTCCTCAAAAGTGATGTAATTGAATATAATACTATAGTGGAGACAAAAAATGTTGATTTCTTTGAACATATTGTTCCTCTAAAGGTTAGTGAGACACCTAAACAATCTATAAATATTAATAGTAATAAAATATATGAAGATTTGAGGAGAAGTGAAAGACAGAGGAAGAAAATCTCTTTTGGAGATGATTTCTACACTTATCTAGTTGAAAATGATCCAACGAGTTTTTAAGAGGCTACCAGGGCTCCTGATGCAATACATTGGGATAAGGCCATTAAGACTGAAATTGATTCAATTAAGAAAAATAATACTTGTACTTTGGTAGATTTGACTAAAGGAACAAAACCTATTGGTTGTAAGTGGATCTTTAAGAAAAAATATCATCCTAATGGATCCATAGATAAATATAAGGCAAGATTAGTAGCAAAAGGTTTTACTCAAAAATTCAACATTGATTATTTTGATACCTTTGCCCCTGTGACTAAGATTTCCTCTATTCGAGTTTTGTTAGCTCTAGCAGTTATGCATAAACTAGTTATACACCAAATGGATGTTAAAATAGCCTTTTTGAATGGTGAATTAGAGGAGGAAATTTATATGACTCAACCTGGAAGGTGTGTTGTTTCAAGTCAAAAGAACAAAGTGTGCAAAGTTTTAAAATCCTTGTATGGATTAAAACAAGCACCAAAACAATGGCATGAAAAACTTGATAGTGTTCTACTTTGTAATGGCTTTTTAACTAATGATGTTGATAAATGTGTGTACTCTAAATTTGAGAGTGGTGAATGTGTCATTATATGTTTATATGTAGATGACATGCTAATATTTGGTACATGTATTGACATTGTCTCCAGAACTAAGTTGTTTCTGGGATCTAAATTTGAAATGAAAGATATGGGTAAAACCAATGTGATTTTGGGAGTTAAAATCATAAGGAAGGGCAATAATATTTTTCTATCCCAAAAACAATATATTGAGAAACTTCTTAGGAAGTTTGGACATTATAAAACCAGTGAATATCCCTTACGACGCTAACGCTAAGTTAAAGAAAAATAGAGGAGACTCAATCTCTTAACCTTAGTATGCCCAGGTAATTGGGAGCTTACTACATTTAATGAGCTTTTCTAGACCTAACATTGCTTATACAGTAGGTAGACTGAGTAGGTACACTCAATGTCCTAATAAAAAACATTGGAATGCACTTACAAGACTTATGAGATACTTAAGAGAGTCAATGAATTATGCTATTGAATATAGTGGATTTTCCGTTGTACTAGACAGGTATAGTGATGCTAACTGGATCTCTGATTCAGATGAAACAAAATCCACTAGTGGTTATGTATTCACACTCGGGGGTGGTGTGATTACATGAAAATCAGCCAGGCAGACAATTATTGCAAGATCAACAATGAAATCTGAATTTGTTGCTCTCGATATGGCTGGTAGTGAAGCTGAGTGGTTGAAAAACTTCTTAGTAAATATTCCATTAGGAATGAAACCGACCCCGTCTGTATCAATACACTGTGATTGTCAATCGACAATAACTATAACTAAAAATAAGAATTACAATGGAAAATACAGACATATACAATTGAGACATAATTTAGTGAAGCAGCTGCTAAAGAATGGAACAATTTCCATGGACTATGTGAAGTTAGAACGGACTCTAGCAGATCCTCTGACAAAACCCTTAGCGAGAAATATAATTTTAGAAACATCGATGGCAATGAGACTTAAGCAACTTGTAAACAAACAGGTGATGGTAACCCAACCTTTGTGATTGGAGATCCCATGAATAAAGTTCATATGGGTAAAAACAAGTCACTTGTTAGTTCTGCTAGGACTAAAATTGATTAAAATCAATTATGTCCATTCATATGGTGTATATGTGAAAGTGCTAGATACTGCATCGTTAAGAGGTTAAACTTTGTAATTAAAATTTCATTCCATGTGGTGTACGAATTTTAGTCTAAACAAAGTTTTTAATGATTTCATATTCCTTAAGGGTGGTGTATGATTTATAACATATGCTTGATGAAGTCACCTATATGAGTGTCGAGTGGGGCCGCTTGTATGAAATATTTGCAAGATTTCTATAGCACTCATGAATACCGGGCATGCACATGGCCTAGTAAGTGCAACACAACGATAACAGCAAGAATTGTGAGGATGTATTGTGATTGTTAAAACTGCTAACACACATTAAGTGTTTTGGTTCATATAGCTTGCTATACCAACTACACTGTGTGTTAAGTTTTTCAGTCTAAGACTGGTTCATATAGCTTGTTATACCAGCTTTGATGCATTACATCTTATATGAGACCCAAGATTTTCTTCTTTTATTCCTTTATCTCCTTTTTTTGTTTTGCAATATGTGGGGGATTGTTGTAAATTAAGGGGTATTGCAAAACTTAGAACGTGTTCCCACAAGCTGTAGAGACAGTTTTAGAGAATGTGTTCTCACACGTTGCAGAAGACCGTTTCAGAGAACGTGTTCTCACACGTTACAAAAGACTGTTTCAAAGAACGTGTTCTCACACGTTGCAAAAGACTGTTTCAAAGAACGTTGCAGAATAACATTTTAGATTACAGATAACGTTTCAGAGAACGTTACAAATCCACCACTAAGTCTTTCCATAACTACTACAAACATTCTCTTATAAATAGAGACCACTTCACACTCTTCAGAAACACACCTCTCTCATCTTCTTTTCTCTAATCTTCTTTCTGTTATCCTGAGTAAATTTACTCTTTTGAGAGTTTCTTGCTAGTTTCTGAGATCCTCGGATATTTCGAGAAGTTTTTGTTATATCCTGGGGGACTTGCGCAATACACCGCGAATAAGTCCTTAAGGGCAGTGCTTATACACGCCTCAGGAATAAAGTTTATTCGTATCTCTGTGAGCTTTTACAACAAATTTTACCACTCATTTCATAGGCCTAGTTCTCACTTGTTTAGACTTTGGAGTCCTGAAATTTGTTTAATTCAGAGTTCCCTTTTCAGTGTACGTATTCTGTAGTATCTATTATAGCTAATTCGGTGTTAAAAATTGTGAACTCGAGTAGTTTCTGTGAATTCTGACGAGGGTTCATGGATGAACTTGAGTTGAATGTAGCAATGAACATATGGAATTTGAGAGATAGAGCAATAGATAGATATAATTAATTTCAACTATGCATGGGACTGTTTTCTTTGAGTACTGAATGAGTGGTTGATTATAAATTAACCCTTATGATGATTATGTTTAGAACCAATCCCTTGACCAGATATAATCTTTTTGAAAAATAAATATATAGATAAATATAACAAAAGCTAATTGAATTTCTGTGTACTGAATAGAATCAAGCAACTGATAATGAGAAGGTCAGTAGGACCTTGGCAAGAGATGAGAGCTTCAACTTCAAAGCAGCACATTGGGCTGATCTTCATGGCCTTCTGTACAATGCGCTGCCATCAACTGTATTTTTATGGGGTCACCTTTTTCTCTCTTTCCACATTTCAGATGATAAGGGTTCTGTCAAAGCAAAGGCTAAGGTTCTAGATACTGGGACGGTTATAGAGATAGTAGGGGATTTTCTTGTTGCAGCAGATGGTTGTTTCTCTTCCATCCGCCAGAAATATCTTCATGATTCTAAACTCAGGTATGTAACTCAGAATGCTGCTGATTTTAACTCGGTGTTTTTAAACCCTAAACCCTATTAGAAGACCAAGCCAATGTTCAACATAGGACGTGCTTAGATAATTTTTTTCATGAGTATTTTAGATGAAATAAATTTTTCTATAAGCTAAGCTTATACATAAATCAAAATTATCTTTTAAAGAAGCTTATCTGAGAGAATTTCTATAAACGTCTATGTATAATAGAGAAACTTTTTTTCATTTCTTCGCAATTTCTTCTTCTAGAAGTGTTTATGGAGATGTATATATAAAGTAATCCTATATTAGACCATAGATCAAAGTGTGACCATGGACTGAGTTGATCCTCTAATATGTTCTGCCTGAAGAAGGAACAATTTATTGGTATTCCTGTAGTATCTGCTCTGCTCCCTTGATGGTTATCTTTCTTAATTTATATTTGAAAATGTAGGTTTACTGAATAAAACGAATGGAAAAGAATAAAATAAATAGGAAAAGTTAAGAGAATGAATATGAAATTAAATTAATCGTTATTCAGCGTACATTTAGAATGTTAGTTCAAAATACATTTATAATACTGCAGTAACGTAAAATGCAGTAAAAAAACTAATTTGAGATATTCTCTCTTAAAATCTAGGCACATTTACTTTGACTAGAAACCCTTATTCAACAACGGAAACAGAAAAATAAAACAAATAAAGATATCACATGTAGTCTAAAAAACAAATATTTAATACTCCTCCTTGGTTTTGGAACTGCAAACTCCAATCTTCTGCCTTAGAAATTCAAACTTGTTGAGTGGAAGTGGTTTAGTAAACAAATAAGCAACCTGATTTTCAGTTTTACAATAAATTAGAACAACAACTCCATCCTTTTGTACCTCCCTTAAGAAGAACAACTTAATGTTAAAATGTTTGGTCTTCCCATGAAAAACAGGATTGTGAGAAATGGCTATTGCAGCTTGGTTATCAACAAAAACTTCTGTACTTTCCTTCTGCTCCATGTTAAGATTGTTGCAGGTAGCATCAATTGTCCTGTGACGAAGGTCAGGTGGGCCGAGTCACAATTGAATCGTGGCGCTTGGGCTGTTAAAGTAAAAAGAGTTGCGCTCTGACTAATGGCTATAGCTTTTGGCCTAGTGGTAAGCGCTCGATCCTAACAATTTCACCTTGGAGACCTGATGCGGTTATGAGTACGACCGGGCGTGGGAGGCACTCGGTCCTCTGGATTTTCAAGGGTCGCCGGGGGCGCACCGGACACCACGCGACGTGCGGTGCTCTTCCAGCCGCTGCACCCTACCTCCGGCTGAGCCGTTTCCAGGGTGGGCAGGCTGTTAAACAGAAAAGATAACTCTTCCCGGGGCCCCCGCCGATGATGATCAATCAGCAAATGCAGCAACTGATGAAGTTGAAGATGCACTGTTATGTAGTTTAGATAATTCTATTGACTCATGGATTATGGACTCAGGTGCGTCATTTCATACTACACCTTCCTTAGAACTATTATCTAACTATGTTTCTGGAAAGTTTGGGAAGGTCTACCTTGCAGATGGAAAATCTCTTGATATCATAGGAAGATTATTGTCTCCTTTTCTCTCCTTTATTCTTTCCTTTATTATTGTCTTGTTCCTAACAATTGGTATCAGAGCCAAGGTCACGAGTTCGATTCCTGGTGGGCAATTGTTGAGGGGGAGATTGTTGCAGGTTGCACAATTGTCCCGTGGCAGAGGCCGGGTGGGCCAAGTCACAATCCAAGAGTGGGATACCTTGTAGGACAATTGCTGAGGGGGAGATTGTTGCAGGTAGCATCAATTGTCCTGTGACGAAGGTCAGGTGGGCCGAGTCACAATTGAATCGTGGCGCTTGGGCTGTTAAAGTAAAAAGAGTTGCGCTCTGACTAATGGCTATAGCTTTTGGCCTAGTGGTAAGCGCTCGATCCTAACAAAGATCAATTAGAATTTTCTTCAACCACAAGACTTGGTTAACAGTAGCTGCGGCATCAATAAATTCAGCTTCTGCTGTAGATTGTGCAACAATTTCTTGTTTCTTTGAACTCCAAGAGAAAACACCAGATCCAAAACTAAAACAGTACCCTGAGGTACTCCTCATATCATCAATTGAGTCACCCCAATCGCTATCTGAGAAACCTTTCAGTTTAAATTCTTCAGTTCTCTTAAACTTGATGCCAAAATTGTAAGTTCCTTTGATATATCTAATCACCCTTTTTGCAGCCTTGAGATGCATTTCACTTGGGCAATGCATAAACCTAGATAAAATACTTACAGCATTTAAGATGTTAGGCCTAGTTGCTGTAAGGTACATCAAACATCCAATTATGCTTCTGAAAAATGCTTGGTCTATCTTCTTAGTTCCATCTTCCTTGCATAGTTTTTCCTTTTGATTCATTGGAGTGCTCATTTCTTTGCATTCTTCAAGTTTGAACTTATTCAAAATTTCCTTGGCATATTTTTCTTGAGAAATGAAGATTTCATGTTCTCTTTGTTTGATCTCAATGCCAAGGAAGAATGTCATTAACCCAAGGTCTGTCATCTCAAAGACCTCCATCATTTCTTTCTTAAACTTTTCCATCAACCTTGTGTGGTTTCCTGTTACAAAAAGATCATCCACATAAAGTGAGATAATAATAATGTTAGCTTTATCATCCTTAATATACAATGTTGATTCAGCTAAGCTTTTGATAAATCCCAAGTTCATCAAATGATCATCAATTCTATTGTACCAAGATCTTGGGGCTTGTTTTAGCCTATATAGAGTTTTCTTAAGAAAATAAACCTTATCTTCTTCTCCTTCCTTTACAAAGCCTTGGGGTTGTTCAACATAAATTTCTTCTTGTAAGAAACCATTTAAAAAAACTGATTTAACATCAAGTTGATAAATCTTCCAATTCTTTTGGGCAGCTACAACAAGTAACAATCTAATGGTGTCTAATCGAGCAACCGGTGCAAATGTATCTGAGTAGTCTACACCAGAAATTTGTGCATAACCTTTTACCACGAGTCTTGCCTTGTGTTTGTTGATAGAACCATCTGCATTTAACTTAGTTTTGTACACCCACTTGACCCCAATCACTTTTCTGCTTTGAGGTTTTTCCACAAGAATCCAGGTTTGGTTTTTTCGATCATTGACAACTCCTGCATTGCAGCCATCCAATTTGGATGTCTCTTTGCTTCTTCATAATCTGCAGGTTCACATACAGAAACATTGCATCTTTCATAAATTTCAGAGAGCAATCTAGTACCTCTTACTAGGACATCATCCACCAATTCATTTTGCCAACTTTCATCTTCATTCTGTTTTGTGTTTGAGGCAGATGGCTTGACCTCCATATCCATCTTCCTTTTACTATCCCAATTCCATTCTTCATCCTCCATAAATTGAACATCCCTGCTAATAACTATTTTTCTAGTTTGGCGCTGAAATACTTTATAGCCTTTACTGCTTGTACTATAGCCTATAAAGATACCTAATAATGCTCTTTTATCTAGCTTATCTCGTTTGCTTTGTGGGACATGAGTAAAGCACAAACAACCAAATATTTTAAGAAATTTCAAAGATGGTTTGTAATCATACCATACTTCAAATGGTGTTTGGTCCTTCAAAGCTTTGGTGGGAAGCCTGTTCTGAAGAAAAACAGTCGTACTTGTTGCTTCTGCCCAAAATTCCTTCGGTAAATTTTTTTCAAACAACATGCATCTTGTCATCTCCAAGATATATCGATTTCGCCTTTCACTAACCCCATTTTGTTGTGGGGTATAAGGAGCAGTCAGTTGATGTTCAATGCCGGAATTCTCACAAAAAAGATTGAATTTTCTAGACGTGTACTCAGTGCCATTGTCTGATCTCAAGGTCTGAATTCTTAAACTAGTTTCATTCTCAACTCTGGCTTGGAATTTCCAAAATATCTCAGCAACCTCTGATTTGTTCTTAAAGAAAAATATCCAACACATTCTTGTAAAGTCATCAATAAAGAGAATATAATAAAGATTACCTTTCAATGAAGGAGTTCTTTGAGGACCTACAACATCTGTGTGAATTAATTGCAGTTTCCTTGATGCTCTCCAGGAAGTTTTTGAGAAAGATTTTCTATTTTGTTTGCCAAATTGACAAGCCTTGCAATTTGAAATTCGATCCTCAAGGTCAGGAACATCAAGTGCCAACTCTTGTTTACATAATTGCAGCAGTCCCTGGTGATGGTAATGCCCAAGCCTTTTGTGCCAGGTTTTTGTGACATCTTCCTTAAGTGAGAAAGCAGCTTGCTCCTCCTCCAAAGGATTTAGAGAAATACTTTTTCCTTTCATTTTTACCTTGAACATATCTTGTCCAACTGCATCTTTAATCAAGCAATGTTTGTTTTCAAAAACAACTTTAAATCCTTTTTCAATGAGTTGACCAACACTTAATAAGTTTTGGTCAAGTTGAGGAACAAAAAGAACATCAAGAATAAATTTTGTCCCTGCACAACTTGTTATTGCAACTCTACCCTTTCCTCTAACTGTTATATAATCACCATTACCTATTTTTACTTTAGTGACATTAGTTGGCCCCAAATCTTTGAATTGTGATTTGTCAAAGGTCATATGGTTGGTACAATCACTATCAATTAGCCAACTTTCATTGGACTCATTACCCAAGAAACATGTAGCCACAAACAGTTGGTCTTCCTCCTCCTCCTCTGGATCAGCAATTTGAGCTCCTTCATCGTGGTGATTTTTGCTTTTGCAAATTATAGCTTCATGCCCCATCTGGTTGCACTTGCTGCATTTTGCCTCCAGTCTTCTCCAACATTTGAAAGGCGGATGACCTTTTTTACCACAATGTTGACAAGGTGGATAGATTTTCTTTCCTCCCTTGCTTCTAAATTGATTGTTTGTTGAACTTACATTGATTGATGCTTGATTCTTATCAATTTCATGATGTTTGACTGGCAAAGCACCTCGACAACATGATCTTGTCTCATCATTCTTTGTTGTTCCTGAGCCTGTAAGGCATGTAACACTTCTGCCAAAGTGATCTTAGAAAGGTCCTTTGAATTCTCCAATGAAGCTATAGATGCTTCATACCTTTCTGGTACAGTTACCAGAATTTTTTCAACAATTCTGGAATCTAAAAAATCAGTTCCCAATCACTTTACCTAGTTGGAAATATTTAGCAATTTGTCTGAATACTCTTTGACTGTATCAAACTCATTCATCCTTTGAAGCTCAAACTCCCTCATTAAATTAAGCACTTGCATGTTTCGAATTCTTTCATCTCCAACATATTGTGTCTTGAGATAATCCCAAATTGCCTTTGCTGATTTGAGAGTCATGACCCTAGTAAAAACAGTGGTAGAAACCCCAGCAAAAAGGCATGACCTTGCCTTTGATTTTCGGGTTTTTTTTTCTTTGTGTAGCTTGATCTGGGTCATGGTAGGATTGTCTGGCAGCGGAAGGACTTCATAATCGTCTTCTACAGCTTCCCATAGATCCAAAGTCTCCAAGTAAGCCTCCATTTTGACAGCCCAAAGATCATAATTTTCGCCATCAAAAACTGGAGGTGCAATGTGTGAGAAATTTGGTTCGACATCCATATCCACAGGCCCGTAAGAAAAAAGCTCTGATACCAATTGTAGGTTTACTGAATAAAACGAATGGAAAAGAATAAAATAAATGGGAAAAGTTGAGAGAATGAATATAAAATTAAATTAAACGTTATTCAGCGTACATTTAGAATGCTAGTTCAAAATACATTTATAATACTGCAGTAACGTAAAATACAGTAAAAAACTAATTTGAGATATTTTCTCCTAAAATCTAGGCACATTTACTTTGACTAAAAACCCTTATTCAACAACTGAAACAGATAAATAAAACAAATAAAGATATCACGTGCAGTCTAAAAAACAAATATCTAACAGAAAACAATTAAGTGTCTACATTTTAATGGAAGTAGTACCTAGTTCAGATCCTCTAATAAGGTTCAAGTGTCATTTGTAGGTATTTAGGCTATTCTGCTTGGAGAGGGGTTTTTGATTTTTCAGAAACTGAGACTTTTGAAACCGTCAAGGGCATAAGAAAGGCATACCCTGATATAGGAAAATGCTTGTACTCCAACTTGGGATCATGTACACACAGTGGTTTCTATGATCTTCTAAATAAAAAGCTCAATTGGATTTGGTATGTGAATCAGCCAGAGCCAGAAATGACGGTAACTTGGTTCCTCTTATCCTATACTCCAATTAAGAAATGCCCCCCAACATTTCATATAATTATTTTTTCTACACTTTATCATGTCTAAAATATTCCCTACATGGTTGTGTGTTTGGATTCACTTTGGTTTATGTAGAATCACGTTGAGATTTCAGTAGTGTAGTTTTAAAGAAATGTTTACATGTTTGATTTTGCTTTGAGGAATTGATTACTATGTTTATATGGTTTTTTAATTGAAACAACTTCAGGTAGTTTTTGTTGTTCTACCTCCAATTACACTTTATTCACTCTTCATTCTGTGGTCAAATCAATTATTGCCGATTCTATATTTACATTTGGGAGCTAACTTTTTCAGGGTACTTCAGTGACTATTAGAGATTATTGTAAATCAGTTAGCATTTAGGAAATGTTAGTGCTTCCTTTCAACAATACTATTTTGTTGAGGAGTTTCAACACAAGTGGTTTCATGAAAGATGCCTTTGGTGGAAAAGTAATCATTTAAGAAAAACTCTTTACCATTGTTCGACCTTAGTCTCTTTAATTTTAAAGTAAATTGGTTTTCAATTAATTGTATAAAAGAAGGAAGAACATTTTTAACATCAGATTTTGCTTTTAACAAATGAATCCAAGTAAATCTTGTGAAATCATCCACAACAGTTAAAAAGTATTGAAAGCCATCAATGGAAGAGGTAGAGACAGCCCCATATATCAACGTGAATGAGTTGAAAAAATGTTGAAGTTTAACTAATGCAACTAGGAAAGGGTAGCCGTGCTTTTCTGTTTCAATCTCATTTACCAAAATGTTTTTGGTCTTATGCTGTCAAGCATGCCACTCATATCATAAATAGACTTCCTAGCTCTTTTTTACATTTTAAATCACCTTATGAACTTGTGTATAGCAACCCTCCCTTTTTAAATAATTTGAGTTTTTTGGTGTTTAGCTTATGCCACTACTCTTGTTGCTGGGAGAGGAGAACCAAACTTGATAAACGTTCCAATAAAACTGTTTTTCTAGGCTTCAAGCCAGGCACAAAAGGTTATATTTTATATGACACTATCAACAAGTCTTGTTTTACATCTCGCAATGTCATTTTTTATGAGCAACACTTTCCATATTTCATTCATTCTACATCAACTCATTCATTCTGCATCAAATCCTTCATCTCCAAACCATCGAGATATTACATTTTTTTATAATCTCATCACTTTTGATCATATTCCATTCAATCCATATTTTCCCCATCCCACTCATTCATTACAGCATAATCCACTCCCTATACCAGACAGCAGTCAAACCCCTATTGCAGATAGCAGTCAAACCCAATCACAGGACAATCTTCAACTCACTGAATCATCTACACGAATTTCAAGCAGAATCAAGAAGCCACTCTCATACTTAGCTGACTATTACTGTTCAAATATTGCATCATCTAATGCCACTTATTGCACTCCTTATCCCTTACACTCTTATCTTTCATGCTCTAAATGCACTAACTTACATACTGCTTTTTGCTTAAATCTCTCTGGTACATTGGAGCCAACCTCCTTTACGGAAGCAAATCAAATTGACTGTTGGAAAGAGGCTATGCTGGCTGAATTACATGCTCTACAACAAAATCACACTTGGTCCCTGGTTAATCTTCCTCTAGGTAAGAAAGTTGTGGGGTGTAACACAAAGCAAGATTGGTTGCTAAGGGTTTCACACAAACAGAGGGGATCAATTTTTTTGAAACTTTCTCTCCTGTTATAAAGTTAACTACTGTTCGGTTTTTACTTTCAGTTGCTGTCTCATCTGGCTGGTTTCTACAGCAACTTGATGTTGATAATGCATTTTTGCATGGTGAACTTGATGAAGAGGTATATATGAAACCCCCACTAGGTTAACCATTTATTCTCCTAATCTTGTTTGCAAGCTTCACAAATCCTTATATGGATTAAGACAAGCAAGCCGACAATGGAATGCCAAACTCACTTTTGCTCTGATTCATTTTGGTTTCACACAAAGGTTTGCTGATCATTCCTTATTTGTTAAAAAGGCTGCTGACTCCTTCACGACTCTACTGGTCTATGTCGATGACATAGTCATCACTGCAAACAACCTTTCTGATATCAATCACCTTAAAGCCTATCTTAATGATCAGTTTCGTATTAAAGATCTCGGAGAGTTAAAATATTTTTTAGGCTTTAAGGTTGCTCATTCCAACCGTGACTTGGTTCTTAATCAACGTAAATACTGCCTTGATATCTTGTCTGAATTTGTTCTTACTGGCTGCAAACCATTGCCTTCTCCTGCTACTCCTTCTGTCAAGCTCAATGATGATGATGGAGATTTGATTTCTGATCCTACTACTTTCAGGAGACTTATTGGCAAACTTTTATATCTCACACACACAAGACCTGATATCAGTTTTGCAGTATAGCAAATCAGCCAGTTCATGACAAAACCCCGAACCTCTCACTTGCAAGCTGCTTTTTGGATACTTAAATACCTTAAAAATGCTCCTGGCCAAGGTCTGTTTTACCCTGTTCAAAACTCTCATCGGATTCAAGCTTTTGCAGATTCCGATTGGGCAAGCTGCAGCATCACCAGAAGATCCATACAGGGTATTGTATTTTCTATGGGGATTGCTTAATATCTTGGAAATCTAAAAAGCAGAACACGGTTTCTCGCAGTTCGACAGAGGCCGAATATAGGGCTTTAGCCACTGTCACATGTGAATCAGTGGATGAAGTATCTTTCTGATGATTTATCCTTAAACATTCCTTTACCTTTTTCCACTTTCTGTGATAATCAGTCCACCATCCAATTAGCCAAAAATCCTTCATTCCATGAAAGAACCAAGCACATAGAAGTTGATTGTCATGTCATCTGCATCAAGATTATTGAAGGCCTCATTCTTCTTTCATATATTCCATCACAACACCAGCTCGCAGATATGTTCACTAAGGCTTTCTTTCCTGCACTGTTTAATACAAATATGTCCAAGTTGGATTTGATTAACATTTATAACCCACCTTGAGAGGGGATATTAGAGATAGGATTATTGTAAATCAGTTAGCACTACTGCTGCTGTGATATTTTTTTTTTTGGTTAGCCATATCTTTTCTGTTAGCTTTTCTGTTACAGTGACATGTCATCTTTTCTTTTCTTACTCCTTTGGTCTTATATAACACGACCTCTGTATTCCTAAAACATGGGTTTTTTTTTATCATTTTATTCAATGAGAAAATGTTACACCATTGTTCTCTAATAGTGACCATGAAAGTCAGCAGTGACATGATCCAAAGGATGCTCCAAGAAGCAGAAAAAGTTTGGAGTCCTGAGTTTTTCAAGGTCATGAAAGAAACAAAGGAACCTTTCCTAAATGTCATATATGATGGTGAACCCTTGGGAAAGATCTTCTGGGACCATGTGGTATTGGTTGGAGATGCAGCTCACCCCACAACTCCTCACTGCCTTAGAAGCACAAACATGTCAATATTAGATGCAGCAGTGTTGGGAAAATGCCTTGAGAAGTTTGGAGCAGAAAAAGTAAGATCAGCTTTAGAAGAATATCAGCTCGGCAGGCTACATGCAACTTCCAAGCAAGTTCTGCATAGGTCTAGTTCTACCTGATAGAGAACATTTTAACCCCAACTCAGCCAAGAAAGAGGACTGTGAGGAACTTCTACAGAGGAACACTCCTTTTTTCAACGATGTGCCTTTGCTACTTGCTTCAATTCTACCCTCCATATAGTTAAGGTCTGTTTGGACAAACTCCTACATAAGGACTTCTAGAAAAATAAGAAGAAAAAAAATGAAATCCTTATAAGTTAAAACTATCTTATGTAGAAGTTACAAAATGAAAGTTAGATTAACTACATAAGAGAGATTCTACAAATTAACTCATGTATAAATTAATTTTAATTCATAAAGAAACTCATTTCACTTTTTTTTTATCTTTCTCTACTAAAGTCTTCATGAAAAAGTTTGTTCAAATTGTTCAAAGTCTTATCCCACTAACTGAAATTTAGCTGCATAGATCACCCAACATTATTGAGCTTAGACTCATGCAAATTTATAACACTTTTTTTGGAAAAAAAAAAAAAAAAACACGTCAATATTATGCAATCTTGTTCCTAACAAACTTTTTCTGATATTGAACAGCTTCATTAGTAACACTACATATATGCTTCTAGTTTTTGTTCAAGTTAGAAAGCTATAGAATTTTAACAAAACTGTTATCTGATACTGTATTTGTTGATGGCATAATTACCTTATTTTGTGCAGTTTCAATGGTTTAGGTGTACTTCTTACCAATTCTTACCAGTTCATCTTACCATATGTATCACAGATCGGATGGTAAAAAAGATCTTAAGGGTTAAGTACTTGATCACTAAATGTACTGGTTTTGCTTAGTTTTGAACAATCCACAAAATATTCTTCTTAGGTGAATTTTATTAATGTATGCTGTAAGTTATTTTTATAATAAAACAAACTTATTTTTAAAAATTATCCTAAAAATATTATTGAAATAATTATAAAAAAAACAGATTATGGATATATATATATATATATATATATATATATATATATATATATATATATATATATATATATATATATATATATATATATATATATATATATATATACCCTCCTTAACCTTAAATATTTTATTTCACCGATCTTACGTGTTAAATGTATAACATAAAACATAAAAGATATGTAAAATTAATAAATTCACAATTTTCATAAATACATTAAATAATAAGATGTAATTAATAATATATGTTAGTATTCCTTCTACAATTATCTTCAAATTACATCTATTTATGAACATCACATCTCTAATATATGAATAACTCAAGTGAATAATAAAAGAATATATGTTAAATAATGAAAAAGGCGTATCCATAAGAATTGAATACAAATAAGGAAATTTACAATCATTTATGCATTAGGTTAAATTTAGACCTCTTGACTCAGTAAAAATTTATTGGTGTCTATTAAATTATGAGAGAATCATTGAATAATCCGAAAGTTTTTTTTTTTTTTTCAAATTGTATTTTTCAGAATGTGTCAAGGATTTTAGAAGTGTATTTTTATCCATAAAAAATATACTTGTGTGGTAGAGGAAGAAAAAATGGGGTGTAGGAAAAAATTCTGCAATTTTTTGCATGTCTAGATTAATAAACTGCAAAAAAGAAAAAATAATTTCTCAAATTCAAAGCAGAATTTAGTTATTTTTATTGGATTGGCCTAAACATAGAGCATAATATTGGGCTGATACATTCTTTTTCTACCTCCATATTTTCTTTCTGCACGCCATATTTATTTGAAAAGATAGTAGTACCTTAGTTTTATGAAACGAGTGATAAGCCTATAATGAAATATTCTAGATTAAAAAATCTGAACAAATTTAGGATGAATGGAACCAAAAATATAATTCTTTCAAGGTTCGAATTATGAAATCCAAAATATAATTTTATCATTCCACAAAGATTAATTTAAAAAGTTTTCGGAAAGCTAAATTTAGAAATGATTTTTCACATATACAATTTAAGTTTTTTTATTCATTCTTCTAAAAGATTTCCGAAAAACTTATTCTGAAAAGTTTTCAAAAGAATAAATCCAAAACTTATTATTTACATCAAAGATAATATCATCATTTTAAATAAATATGGGGTGCATGAAGAAATAGCCTATTTGGTTTCTCTTAATCAAGTTGGACCCAATCTGAGCCTCTCCAAGAGATCTTATATACTGTACAGAGATATGTCTCATTTGTGAGTGATATTAATTTGATACTTGAAGAAGAGAGAGTGGCATAGGAAATATGGTTGAAGGAGAAAAACCAAAGGCAGTGATAGTGGGAGGTAGCATAGCAGGTATATCAAATGCACATGCTCTTACCTTAGCTGGTTGGGATGTTCTTGTGCTTGAGAAAACCATTTTACCTCCAACTGGAAGCCCCACTGGTGCTGGTCTGGGACTCAACTCTTTGTCCCAACAAATCATTCACTCATGGCTTACACAATCACAACAACTCCTACACAACACCACTTTACCTCTAACCATTGATCAGGTGCCACCCTTTTTGGTTTCATGTTTTAATTACTTTATTTTGTTTTATGTTTGCTTATTAGAGCTTTCTGGGCATTCTCTTGTTCATTTGTTTCTTATGCCAGAGTGTGATTGGTAATTAGTTAATACTTCAGTAAGGAATATTTCCAAGGATAAACCAATAAAAGGGATCCTTTTGATGTTGATGTATATGGTTCAAGTAGATCCTAAGAGAAACTTTAGTCCTTCTTTTATGATAATTATGATTTTTTTTTTACCTGAGCAGAACTATGCAACTGATAGTGAGAAGAAGGTTAACAGCACATTGACAAGAGATGAGAGTTTCAACTTCAGAGCAGCACATTGGGCAGATCTTCATGGCCTTCTGTACAATTCACTGCCATCAGATATATTTTTATGGGGTCACCTTTTTCTCTCTTTCCATCTTGTGGATGGTAAGGGTTCTGTCATGGTAAAGGCTAAGGTTCTAGAAACTGGCAAGGTTGTAGAGATAGTAGGGGATTTGCTTGTTGCAGCAGATGGCTGCCTCTCTTCCATTCGCCAGAAATATCTCCCTGATTTTAAACTCAGGTTTGTATTTCAGCCCAAAGGGGTCAGACTTTTGTTGTCATTTGTATTTCAACGTTGGAGCTAGCATTAATTTTTCTCTATCCTTCAATCTGGAAAGATAAATGATATTTGGACAATACATTATACCATAAATTTACAGCTAATAGAGAGAAAACGAGAGGGAAGTACGAGACATATAAATGATATGATGGAGTGAGATGGTCACAAAAACAATTATGTATAAATTGTTGTACTTGTAATATGAATAACACATCTTATCTGGTAAAGATCCTTTAGCGAAATCTGGTATCTTCTACAGATATTCAGGCTATTGTGCATGGAGAGGGGTTCTTGATTTTTCAAAAATTGAGAATTCAGAAACCATCACTGGTATCAGAAAGGCATACCCTGATCTAGGAAAATGCTTGTACTTTGACTTGGCCTCAGGCACACACACTGTGCTGTATGAGTTGCAAAACAAAAAACTCAATTGGGTTTGGTACGTGAATCAGCTAGAGCCTGAAGTTAAGGTGACTTTGTTTCTCTCCATTCTTATACTTTCAATATTAAATACCCTGATTGATAATAATCCTGAAATGATTTCTTTGTCATTTTTCTCCTCAAAACATATTCCTGGTAAGTTTCATAAATATTCTAGCATAGTCTCCATTGTGATCTCAAATCTAGATCGTATTCATACTTCCATTTGTTGTCAAATCATCTTGTGCTGATTGTAACTTGATACTTGGGTCCAAAACTTTCTACTTTTCAGGGGACATCAGTGACAACGAAAGTAAATAGTGACATGATCCAGAAGATACAGCAAGAGGCAGAAAAAGTTTTGATTCCTGAGTTGGTAAAGGTCATAAAAGAAACAAGGGAACCTTTCTTAAATTTCATATATGATAGTGATCCCTTGGAGAATATATTTTGGGACAATGTGGTATTGGTAGGGGATGCAGCTCACCCAACCACTCCTCACTGTCTTAGAAGCACAAACATGTCTATATTAGATGCAGCAGTGTTAGGCAAATGCATGGAGAAGTGGGGAGCAGAAAATCTTGAATCAGCTTTAGAAGAGTATCAGTTCATTAGGCTACCAGTCACCTCCAAGCAAGTTATGCATGCAAGGCGTCTAGGTCGCTTGAAACAAGGGCTGGTTCTACCTGATAGAGAACCTTTTGACCCAAAGTTAGTTAGGCCAGAGGACTATCAGGAGCTTCTACTGAGGAACACACCATTCTTTAATGATGTGCCTGAGTTACTTGGTTTAATACCATCTTCCAGTTCTCCATCTGATTGCTTGTAGCAGTGACTTTTATTACTACATTGAAAATGGATGTCTTACCTTCCATACAACTATTTTTACGCATCATACTTTTGGAACATTTCCCATAACTGATTTGATTTTAAGCCTTAGGGTCTCAAACTTTGTTTTGACTATTAATAATTTTATCACCAAATTCATTTATTTCACATCTCATCCCAAAATTTAATCAAGAGCAAAATGCATTTTAATTTTCAATATCTAAGTGGAAACATTACAAATTTGAGAACCGGTGTATAAAGTACTGGTAGGAGGGGTCTACTTTTATTTGACTGGATTTTGAGAAATTAATCTCAGTCTCTCAACAAGGGAATGAGAAACTTTTACAAATGATAATAGATGCACACGTCCAGGTAGATTATCTGCTCTTCATCCACGCTAATTTCTATCAAATAAACACTCACATATATCAGTTATATAAAATATAATTGATTAGGCATTAAGAGGAGCCTGTTTGATTTCCTTTTTTTGGGTTTGTTTTAAAAAAATTTCTATAATTAATCACTCAAAGTCTATGAAGTTTGAAATTTTCAAGATATTTGAAATTTAGAACTCAAAATACAGAAAGTTGGAGATGTTTTCGTTTTCACTTCTCAATGGAAGCAGATGGACAGAAGTTTCTTGGTTGAAGAGAGAGCACAAACTTCCTGTCCTCATTATTCGTTTATCATTTACGATTTTATCATAAGGCACGAGCATATAGTGTGGAGCACTGTGGCTAAAAATAAAAACTTTATGTTAGGACTTTTCAGCGCTGCAGCATATAAGGCCAAAAAACTGTGTACACGTCTACAGCCAAAGGATGCTTCACACTGCAAAGACAAAAACAGTTTTTGGAAAATGAAAATCAAACACACCCTTGCTAAATTAATTATTGGATGCAATTGTTTCCTTTCAAATACAATTGGATAATAACTTCTTCTCCTAAAGGAAAAATACTATCTTCACACCTTTCATTAAGATCTATTCAACAACCCATTTTAATATAATAATAATAATAAGTTTAAATTATATTAATTATCACTCCTCGTCAAAAAAATTAGGTAAAACAGACTTATCAATGATATAACATAATAGAAACAAAACATGAGTTACTTCGAGGAATATTCTCACATCATAGTTTTAAATTTTAGAAAGGAAAAATGTAAGTTAACATTACTATTTTCATCAATGATCAATCTACAATCTACTTTAATAATATAATATTCATAAAATTTTTAAATTTTTAAATTTATTATTATAAATGTTCTTTTAGCATAGTTTCATCTCGGAAAGATCTGAGTTTTATCATTTAATCAGTCATATAAGTATTATAAAGTGTCAAGAAAGTAGGGTAATTTCGATCTATCCTATCACAAAATCACTAATTACATCTCATTCTATTACTGACTTGAGCGTCAGAGTATCTTTGCAAGTATCCTCGTACTCCCAATATCAGGAATCGAGTACCGAGAGCCAGGTGCTGAGGACTTCAAGACAAATACCCAAGAGGATCATTGTTCAAATAGGAAGCAGGTTCGTATTCAGCTATGTAAGAACATAATTAGTGTCCACTATGGGGTCGAACAGAAACACGACCAATGATTTCTACTAAAAAATACTAACGTTGATGGATAAGCCCACCAAGAAGAGAGAACCCAACAAGTGCAGTGACCCTCCTGGCCGAGCTGAGAAGAGAACTTGAGAACTTCAAGAAAAATAATTCGGAGGAGATAATGACCTTAAAAAGGGAGAATGATAGAATAAGGAAGCGATTGGAAGAAAAGGAGGGAGAGCACGACTCAAATAGTCAAAGGAAATCCAGGATGTGAGAACAATCGACTAACACTCGTCCCTAGTCACCTACTGCGCGAGACTAGGTATATTCCAGCATAACCACCTAACAAGTCCAACGTTTCATATGGAAGAATATAGTATACAGGTTTGGGATCCTTAACTCCATCATCATGGAAACCGGTTGTTAGGGATTTTGAGGGAGATTTACTAGGGAGAACAACATCAATGAGACATAAGTCCAACCTACATAAGGATTGACATCACTCTCAACTTAAAACTTTAAGGCATTAGGTTATGGGTCATACTTCCTTATATGTTGCTCATTTTTCTCATTCTTAGTCAATGTGGAACTTAACTCACACTTAGATTATCCAACAATCTCCCCCCTCAATTGTGAGTCCCTTCACATTGGTACATCCCCTTGAGCTCACTAGTGGTTCTTCCATATACCGTTGTTCACTCTAACGGGACATGCTTACCTGACCCACTCTGTCAGGAAGACTTTCGATACAAATACCACTCTTACCCACTGTCGATCAACCTTCGAATTTGATACCACTTGTTGGGTCTTTCAAGGGGGATTTACTGAGGAGAAACACACCAATGAGACATGAGTCCAACCCATATAAGAGATTGACACTACTCTCAACCCAAAATCTTAAGGCATTAAGTTATGGGTCATACTTTCTTATATGTTACTCAACTTTCTCATTCTTACTCAATGTGAAACTTAACTCACACTTAGATTACCCAACAATGACAAACAGTTCATGGACAAGGGACTCGTCGAGTTCTATTTGGGCACAGAGTTAGTTCTGTCGAACACCCCTAAACCAATGGACAGACAGAGACAGCCAATAAAATGGTCCTACTTGAATTAAAGAAAAGTTTGGGAGTAGCAAAAGGAAGATGGGTCGAGGAGCTCTTGAAGGTATTATGGGCGTATCGATGCACCCCTCATTCTTCGATCGGAGAAACCCCATACAGCCTTAAGTACGGATCGAACTCCATGATCCCTATTGAAATCGGGGAGAGATCTTTACGTCGACAACTGTTTGACCAGGAGGAAAATGAACAAAGTATGAAGGTAGAGTTGGATCTTGTTGAAGAGGGGAGAGATCGAGCGACCATCCGAGAAGTCACATTTAAGCAGCGGATAATGCGAAAATACAACTCCAAGATACAACCGAGATGCTTTCGGCAAGGCAACTTGGTACTCTGCTTGAGGAGCATCGTTAGGAGGAATCCAACAGAGGGAAAGTTCTTGTCTAATTGGGAGGCTCCTACAAAGAAGTAGAAGCACTTGGAAACAACACATACCACCTAGAAGAACTATTCAGTAAGCCAATGCCGACATTGTATGCTTTATACCGACATGTACTCTTTCCTACCATTAAAAGTTTTCCCAAAAAAGGGTTTTGGTTGGGGAGGCTTCATCGAGGCATGGAAACCCAAATAAAATACAAGTGTTCCACTACATACTAGCATATCTCAGTCTTGGACGATTCACTTCCGAATGAACCCTTTCGAGTATAACACGGTCAAGGATGTTTTTTATGGGAATTTTTAGAGTTTTGTGTATGTGTATTTCTGATATATCATGTGGGTATATTTCTATTCATGTACTCTATCTATATATAGAGTAAAAATATTACAAAATATCAAATATTAATAATATCTCACTCATAACTATCTAAATCAAAATAATAACATAATACTTTTTTACCTTCTCTCTTAAAATATAATAAAATCTCTTAATGCCTAATTTAAATAAAAGATAATAAAGTAATATTCTCAACATTCCTCCTTACTTTAATATGTATTTATTTGAATTTGATATTCTTCCTTTGATTTTGCTTAGAATTTTTCCTCCTTTTTTGTTTGTACTTCTTGTCATCTTCTTTTTTGTATGGGATCACATCTTCATTCAACCTCATTTTCTCCATCAAAGTATTTCTTCTTTTATCAATTTCATCTCGTTTGTTTCTTTTAAACTTCATGGTGGTACCGTTGACTCTTTGATGAAAGTTGGAAATGGTTTCTTCATCTACATCTTTTTTTTTTCTCCTTAACATCAAGTTCCTTTAAGAAATATTCTTTATGTTTTTTTTGTTGACTTTTCTTTTATATCCTCGTTTGTAATCAACTCTTCTTTCATCAAATCTAAAGTGAAACTTTTTCCTTTCATGTCAACTTTAAATATTTCCAAGTTATTTGTATCTTTAATCACACAAAGTTTATGTTCAAAAGACACCTTATAACTTTTTTCCAATAATTGAGCAATACTTAACAAATGGATGATTAATATCAGGAACATATAAAACATCAAAAATTAATTTGATACTCGAATGACTTTTAACTGCAACTGTTTTCGTACCTTTCACATCCATTTGTTCACCATTACTGATTGTCACTTTAGAAATATGCGATTCGTTGAGCTCTTTGAAAAGTTTTCGATCATGAGTCATGTGGTTTGTACAACCACTATCTATAAGTCAACCTGTGGATTTGTTGATTATAGAGCATGTTGATGCAAGGAGAAGTACCCATTCTATTTCATCCTTTATAACTTGAATGACTTCCTCTGGTTGTAATTTGCATATCTTTTCTATATGTCTCAATTGACCACATTTGTGACATTTCACATTAGGCCTCCACCAACACTTGTTGGGTGTGTGATTATTTTTCTTGCAATAAGGACAAACAGAAAAGACTCGTGATTTTGTACCTTTGTTGTTCTTGGCTTGGAGAGAATCTCCATCATGATATAGTAAAGAACCTTCACCTGCACCATGATCTCCTCTCATTAATCTTCGTTGCTCTTGCGCTTGTAAAACATGTAGCACTTCTGCTAATGTAACATTAGACAAATCCTTTGTGATTTCCAATGAAATAATAGATGTTTCATATCTCTTTGACACAGTTACCAGAATATTTTCAACTATTCTAGAATCAGGAAATTTCTTGTCTAACAATTTTATTTTATTAGCAATACCCAACAATTTATTTGAGTATTCATTAATTATCTCAAACTCTGTTAGAAAACATCAGTAGAATATTTATCTATTTTGTCTTTTTTGTCTTCTATCTTCATTCTGTTTTGTATACGTGGTATTCATTTTGTTACATTTTATTCTTTCTGTTAGTCACACAGAGCGACTCATGCTTCTAGGAAACTTTATATAAATTGATGTATTGTTGATTGTTTAAGATAATAAAAACAATAGATTTTTCCCTCATTCCTGGTTATCAATTTCTAACATGGTATCCAAAGGTCAATATTTTTTTCCTCAATCCTAGAGCCTTCCCTCTTTCTTTCTGCTCATAATGTCTAATTTTGTAAACCTCAAGCTTACCACTTTACCTGTCCTTTTCTCCCTTTTCTCCTACACTATTTATGAGAAACTTACCGACACAAATTTCCTTATTTGGAAACAACAAGTGGAGCCCGTAATAAAAGCCCACTGCCTCCACCGCTATGTGGTTAATCCTCAAATACCACCTCATTTCCTTACACCTTCTGATCATAATACAGCTACTGAAAACCCTGATTTTAGTCTTTGGGAAACTCAAGACCAACTCCTTTTATCCTGGTTGCAATCCTCCTTATGTGTATCCTTCCTTACCCATGTCATTGGGTGCACCCATTCGTTTCAACTTTGGGAGAAGATTGATGCAAACATCAAGGCCTAGACACATGATGACATGGAAGCCCAAGATCCAATAGAAGGCTTAGGAGGATCCTTGACAAGAGAAAGATTCGGTTATGATGGTTTATTATATTAAAATATGTAAAAAAAAAAACATAAGCCTAATTTGAACCCTAGACCTCAAGCTTAACTATACCTCATGTATCCACTGAGGCAAGTTACATATGCTTAAAATACTAGGAATTTAGTTTTCCTTTATGTGCTTCCAGAGTGAAAATAACTAGTTGTATTTATAATTTTGAGATTGAATGAAAAAGGTAGAATGTTATTTCAAAATTTTGAAAGTGTGAGATAAACTCTCTGCTAGGGTTCTTGTTTGAACCATCGATCTTATCAAGAATTGTTCTAGTTCTTGTGGTGATCAAACCGGCTTATCAAACTTTCAGTTTGTGGTGCCTTTGCTATTATCTTTTTATCTTTCTTTTTGTAAGTCTTCTTTTTCCAAAGTCGAATTTAGGCTATTTTGCTGTTTGTTTCCTGTTTTGGTTCTAATTAGGTCACACTTGTATCTTACGAAATATTAGAACATTTTCGATGTTTATTATGAAAAAATTGCAATTCAAAATGTCATTGTTTCTTTCGTTTTAATAACACTCAATTTCTGACTCTAAATAGATCCTTTATCCATTATAGTAGGGAAAATCACATAAAAGATTCACTCTTACTTCAACTCCCAAACCAGAGCCAAAGCTAGGCAACTTCGAACTGAGTTACGCACTTTGAAGAAAGGAGAAAAATCAATCAATGAGTCTTTTCTTCGCATCAAAGCTCTTATCGATGCCCTCACCTCCATTGGAGATCTTGTGCCTGAACATGAACAATTGGATATTCTCATTGAAGGTCTTCTAACTGAATATGAGTCCTTCATCTCACTCATCAACAACAAACCAGATTATGTTAGTCATATAGAGCGACTCACGCTTCTAGGAAACTTTATATAAACTGATGTATTATTGATTGTTTGAGATAATAAAAACAATAGACTTTTCCTCATTCCTAGTTATCAATTTCTAACATACTCTTGCATCTTTTATATCTCAAATTCCCTTATCAAGTTTAGAACTTTCATACCTCAAATTTTTTTCGTCCCCTTCATATTGATCTTTCAAATAATCCCAAATTTCTTTGGGTGACTTTAGCATCATGATTCTAGTGAGGATCATTTGCGAAACACCAGCAAACATACATGATTTAGCTTTTGCCTTCCTCATTTTTCTTTCTCTGTGAAATTTTATTTGACCTATGGTGTGATTTTCAGGTACTGGATCAACAATATAATCTTCTTTCACAGCTTCTCATACATCTAATCCTTCAAGATAGGATTGCATTCTCACAACCCATAAGTCATAATTTTCGCCATAAAAAATTGGAATAGCAACTTGTGAAAAATTTCTTTCTCCTTCCATTATATTGAACCAAAGCTCTAATGTCACTCGGTGTGAATTTTTAGGATTTTGTACATGTATATTTCTAATATATCATGTGGATATATTTCTATTAATGTACTCTATTTATATATAGAGTAAAAATATTACAAAATATCAAATATTAATAATATCTCACTCATAACTGCCTAAATCAAAATAATAACCTAATACTTTTTTACCTTCTGTCTTAAAAGATAATAAAATCTCTTAATAATTAATTTAAATAAAAGATAATAAAGTAATATTCCCAACATTTTGCTCACCCGCAAAACAATCCTCCCAAAATAAAAGAGCTAATTAATAACCCAGATTAAGCAAATAGCGAAAATAAGCAAGTATAATAAGACACGTAATCAACACAAAATAACAATAATGCATTAAGCATCTTTCGCAAAGCCATCAATATGGACAAAGGAACCATTGTAGACATCATACTCGACATCGAAATTAGCCTCGCTTAGGGGCACACCACTCTTGACGAAGTGGTGCATTTGACAGATAGCCTTATTAAACCCCTATGTTTGCTCTTGAACAATGTATTCCTTTATCTCGAGTAGCTCCGCAACCACCTTGTGGCAATTTCTATCTCATAGAGAGATGATAACTCCGCCACCTTGGCAATTGCAGCCTTGTTCTCCTTCTCGAATCGAGCTAGCATCCCCCGCAAAGCGTCCCTCTCCGAGGACACGACTGAAATTTGTGCACCCAACCCAGAGATCTTAGCATTTAGAGAAGAATTGGTCTCCAAAGCCTCCTTAAGAGAGCTCGATGTCTTGGCCAATTCCCCTTTCAAGCGGGCATCGTTCGAGCACTCGTCACTCTTGATATAATCGGGTCCTAACCGCTTACCCAAGATAAGGGCATGAGTCTGGAGCTTGATGAAGGCTTGGAGCATCTTTGAGTGATCGACGATCATATAAAGACCTTTTTCAACAATCGACATATCCACAAGCACTTTAGAACTGATTTGGTGATCAACATCCAAGAAGCAATTAGAGGCATAGATGGCTGAGCTTGGGCAAGAAATATGTGTTCACATTCTCTTCGGTGAGGAACGAGGGGAATCACTATGGTGACCACGGGGATCTTTGTCCCTTTTCTTATGCTTCTTCCGTGTATCTGAAGGAGGGAGTAGGTCAAATAATGGCGAAAGAGGCATGATGGCAACGATAATGATGAAGGCATGACAAGAGGGGAGTCTTCTAGTTCTACCCTATCTTTATTTTCCATTAGCTTAATTTGAATTCCCTAAGTTGAATTGAGTAGGGTTAATTTTAGTTGACTTGTTGACCTTGACTTAGGTTGACTTTTTTACTAGCGTTGACTTGACCCAAGTCAACATTGCTAATCTAGTTTCATTTGTGTGTCTTGTAGGTTAAGCATGGATTAAGAGGATGATTAGGACTCTCCACATGGAAAGCTAGGATTGGACCATGTGTGCATGAGGTGGAAAGCATAAAGCATAAAGAGAAATGTGTTTTATGGTGGTGAATGAGACAAATGTGGCCTCCTCCTTAGTCTTAGCCAACAATCACCATAGGAAGTCCAACATTTCATTTGTCTTTTCCTTGCTTTCATGTTAGGTTTGTAGAAGATACTTTTTAGGGTTTGCAAATGTACCCTTTTAAAACTTTTGTTATTTGCTAAGAAGCCTCCAAGACTATCTATTTAAGGGGTGTTTCTTCTCCTTTGTAGGGGTTGAACATTTGAAATCAAAATACAACAATATTTTCGTGAGCATCTTCTCCCTAGGGTGGAGACTCCATGACCTTATCTTGCTCCTAAGCAAGTGCAGTTCCACCACTTATCTCTTAACTTGGTGTGCCTACAATGACCCTTCCAAAGAATGGCGTGTTTCCTCACCATCATCATCTTTTATATCTTACATTTTGTTGTTCTTTTCTTCTATTTTTACTCCTTGTTCATGTATTGTTTTGCTAATCAATATTAATTCCATTCACTCCTCTCTTGAGTCATTGGACATGCACCTTCACATCTAGATAACTTGCTATCTTAATGTCCAGTGAGAATTTTCCGTAGGTTTTCTTAAGTAATCTAACACCCTTTTTCAAAGAATTAAAGTGAACCTACATCAGGTAACCTCCTTGCCTTTATCGAAAGGGCTACCAATTCTTGACGATATTTACGAAAAAATTCTTATTGGTAGGCAGGCATCTTGGCGGCCATAATATATGCAAAAAATGTATATTCAGCAAAAGGTCAAACAAGCTAATGATAACTAGTCCAAAAAGAATAACACATACCATCGAGGTCGGAAAGGCGACATGGAGATAAATAGACTCTGAGAAGTTTTCAAGTGGGCAAGCGGCGGGTATTTGATCAAATATCCCCAACATTTGAGCGTCTTCTAATGACATCTCAGAACAAGGCCAATTTTTGAAGCGTAGGGGGTTGTGGGTCCAGCATAAGGGAAACTTGGGTTGGTCACCATCGAAAAAATAATCACGATCGGGAGGCTGGAAGACCACCTTGAAGAAGTTACCTTTAAATTTTTTGTACGAGGATGTGTAGGGTGAGAATAAGGCGGAGGCCAGATGACTAATTAAGGATAACCAACTCACCAGAGAAGAGGGTCGGGTTGAAGTGGAAGAGAAAAACTTGAGGTGTTGGTTGCAAATGCAAAGTCTCACACAGGATTCAGAATGCTTGAGGGCAACCCAACTATTCAGATGCAGTTGAGTCGAAAGAACATGTATATTTGAAAATAAGTAGAATACATATAGAAATACTTCGCGGAACCTTCCCGCTCATGACAAACATTGTCCATGGCACCGTAGCGGTAAAGTGTAACCATACTATCAAGGGCATCATCTGATAACAAATCTTGGTATTCGATATATGATTTCAGCAGGCTCGACCATTGGTATTTAGAATAATAGTTGTGAATGCGATGGTCTGCCCATTCGTAACCCGCACGCTCTGATATATCATTGGTATCCCAGTTGGCATCATTACCCTCTATCGCATTGCCAGGAGATGGGCATCCCTCGATAACAACTAGGTCTTCAGCTATAGTCGCCACTGAATTAGAAGAGGTGTTCTCTACATTGTCCCCCTTCAAACAATCGACCAACACACCCTCTACCCACACCGATGAGCCACCCGAAGACTTCCTAGAGCCAAATGAAGAGGAGAGAAAAGAGTAAGTAAGAATTACCTTTAGGAGATTGGGAACTGACAGGCACGCTAGAGAGGAAACAAACAGAAAAGGCGAAATACTTAGCGAAACAGTGTAACACAAGCGATAAAACGTGAGAAATGATTCTCAACCATCTTATTATATAAGAGCGAGCATACAAAACAAGGCACATTCCCCCACAGGCATTTGATCTTGCGCAAATCAATGATAGAGATCTAATGAGCGTATTAGAGCATGAGAATTTTGAAAAAATTCCCACCCTTCTTCTCATACCTCATTCCCCTATGAAACAATTGGGACAACACTAAAACCATGTGCTAATAACGCGACAGGTTGGAGAACAAGGTGTTCGCCTCTACATCATAATTCGAACACTTAACCACTTGAGCTTCGAAGGTCATATACTCTAAGCATAGTCCCAGCTCAAGAAGCCCCAAGTTTTATCATCCAGTTAGTCATATAAGTATTACAAAATGTTAAGAAGATAGGATAATTTTGATTTATCCTATCACAAAATCACTAATTACATCTCATTCTATTACTAATTTGAACGTCGAAGTATTTTTGCAATTACCTCATTCTAATATCAGAAATCAAATACCGAGGACTTCAAAACAAATACCCAAGAGAATCATTGTTTGAATAGGAAGCAAGTTCATATTCAATGTAAGAACAATAAAGAAGTGTAAATTGGAAATAGAGATGAAAAGTAGAATCAACTAATCAATACTCTTTTACAAAAGCACCGAATAATACAATCCTAAACTGTATATCTAAAAGTGAGGTTAATTTTCATTTAATAATATTATTCAGACAATCACTCTCGTAAAAGTTATGCTCAAACGACACTCGTAATCATCATTTTATGGTGCGACTTATTTAAAAATAACATATTGTTCAATAGAACATGCTGTTCTAGCAGATGGTAAAAAGAATTAATAAGAAAAGGTTTACTTCAACAAGACAATAATTATTAATTAGTGCAAATCATTCAGATTGCTATTCTATCAAATTAATTAATTCTGACACCAACTCCTAACGATCGAACTTCAAAAATATGTCTCCATTTACATTGCCCAACATTCATAATCTCAGACTCACATCGCTAACATTTACATTTCAATCCCAATATTGCACATTGTTCTTGCTCACAAGTAACGAACCTCACCTGCAAATAACTGAATCCAAATAGAGATCCCACATTTCATCAAAACTGCTTGTTGACTTTATTCACAAACCCAAATAAATTCAATTTTCTTATTGATTAATAAAAGATTTGGTCCTCCAAAATATTGAAATTCAACCAACAGACTGACATGATTGATGATGATACACAAGACCTTCTAACAACTCATTGGTAAATAATACAGCCTAAAGGTTGTAATGGAGGCAAACTATTACGCTCGATTTTACATTTCTACCAACAGGAAACAGAGAAAACTTTAATCCCAGGCAGTACAGAAGATATATTGCGCTCTACCATAAGTGCATTCCCACACCACATTCTGAATCAAGGGAAATTAAACTTTTGTTGGCCATGTTGCTTGTGCTGACATAATAATTCCAACAATCACTCCAAATAGCCCAAGCGCGCTACCGAAGATCTCAATGACAAGAATTTTCACAAAGAGGGAGGAGTTCTGAGCATCAGATAATGCACAGCTGCTTCCAATTATTCCTACACACAACCTGCCAGAGGCGGAAAAAATTGAATATGTAACATCAGGATGGAAAAGGTCCTCTGTATTCACGAGGAGAATAATGAGAAGTAGGTAAGAAAGAATACACACCCACAAACAAGATTAGCAAAGCCCACAATTAATCCCGAAGCAAAGATTGAATATCCAGCCCTAAGAGACTCTGGTGCATAGATATTTTCTTTTGGAACGCTTTCTAGTTTTGTTTGAAGAATAATAGCCACAATAACACCATATATAGCAACAGCTTCACAGAAGATTACACTGAAAAACATCAAGAACCATAATGTCAAGATGGCACAAATGTTTATTTATGAAACTATATTAGCCATACCTGGATACTATTACGTAGAAACTACATGCAAAAGGAACATTGACGTTCACAACACTCAAAAAGAACAATCTCAAGTTTAGATTCACATTAAAAATGGGGTTTAACAACTTATTGTACCATGTAAATTTAGTCAATCAATCACTAATATATGATTAAGTGCGGATTAGTTTATTAGGTATTCAAAACAGTTTATAATCAACATCTTATTGATAGAGCTAATAAAACTAAAACCTCTACATAATTGAGAACAAAAAAACACTAAAAACCAAAAAGTTAATATATTGAGCTCAATCGTAATTCCATTTCCAAGCCCTAATATAAGCAAACTAACTTTTGAGAGCCATCTTCCTTGAGCTGGTAACATAATCCCAATAATAGCCAAAGCACACAAACAGAGATCCAGTGAGGACTGTGTGAACAGAAGTTGACATAGAAAGTAAAAAACATAATTACCACTCTAATCACAGTGCCACTTAGTGGTAAGCAGTGATGCACCAATATGTAAGTTTAGGGCATGTATCCATGTCGAGGACATTCCCAACACAAATTTGGATACATTTGGAACCTGTGTCCGCAAAATGTTGATGTAATTTAAAAAAAAAATCTGATATCTTCCAGATTCACAGGGATTCATTTTTCGATCCATTTGGGGATAGAAAATAATTCTTTCTCTACATTTGAAGCAAAGTGGGACAGTTTGCTATTTCCTCACAAGTGCTCATTATTCTCATTCCTTCCATCCTTCTTGACCTTGACTCTTCGTCTACATTTGAAGTAGCAAAGCAAACATTTAGTTTCTTATCTTTAGGACTGCTATTTATTCTCATTCCTTCCATCATTCTTGAAAGAGGTGCACCCAGGAGTGTGTGGCGTTTCAGGTGTGAATTAGATTCCTTCCATTTGATGCTATATTTTATTGATTCTTTCTCTCATTCTTATTTGCTAATTTTCTTCTTGTCTTCTTCCAGTGTTATTTTTCTTTACTTTAAACATAGGCTAATTTTCATTCATTCTTTCATACGTAGTGAGTACTTTACTAGTTTCCTTCTATTATTGTCTTATACTCTTATTCCTTTGAGTACTGACCATTTGACCCAGTTTTCTTAAATCATTCCCTTGCCATTTGTTATTCACTTATTCTTTCTATTGGTACCAAACGAAAATTCATCAAATAACCAAATCTAATTGTTTTATTTATTTATTGAACAGAGGCAAAATAATTTATTTATGCTGGGAATCTTAGAGTGACAACATTATTTCTCAATGAACAAGATATGAAAGTTGTCTTAATTTATAGATAATACTCAAGGAGTGGATGAAGTTAATATCATACTTATTTTAGGCAATAGACAATAAGTAGTAATTTACAATTTCAATTTTATATGTTTAGCAATGTTTAAGGATTATGTTAGTCTATTTGACAATATTTACAATTCCTACATTATATTTTATATTTGGATTTTTTGAAGAGAATAATTTGTGATTTCAAGTTCATATATGCATTTGAGTTTAGTATATTTAGTATGTTCAATTTGGATAATATTTAGTAATGATTTTCAACTTAAGTATGGTTTTCTAAAAAATTACAATAGCATTTATTTTATTTAGTAAATTATTTAAATACACATATACATATTTCAAGATGAGATGAATCGTCGTATCAAATACATGTCGTATCTGTTACTAGCATTGTATCCTTGTATAATTGGTGTTAAGCCATGCTCAACCAACAACGACAATATTGAAGGTTGTACTGAAGTTGAGCAGTTAGAGTGTTCATTCTAGAGTGACTACGAAAAGGGTACAACAACCTCTCTACACAAAAAACAGGCATAATATGCATATATAAATCCTAACATTGTCAAGAAAAAACAAAATTCAAAACAATTTCCTTTATTTGAATTTAAAATATCAATATTATTAAACTTTCCGCACTTGTATCTTGCCTCTGACACAAATAGATGGAGTTTGAAATGGAAAACATAATTCAGCAAGAAACTCTCTATATTCAATTACCTTTTCCTTTTTTTTCTTTTGTTTTCTTTTTTCATATATTAGATAGATATGCAATAACCCAGACGGCTTTATGCCTTGAAGTGGATAACCATACCCGTCAGACCGTACCATCACTTACTCCCAATGATGAAGAAAGATTATCATTGATTATTAGGGGGTAACAAACTAATGCTCAATACAAAGTAAAATTACTTATCACTCAAAGCTAAATCACAGGTATCAAAATTTTACTACCAATAAACCGCTATTTACCAGAGAAACGAACATTAAGCCACCAATAAAGTAATATTCGTTGCATAAAAATCCATTAGAAGTCATTGACAGAAGAGCACTTCTAGACTGATTCCTCAACATCAAAGACTTCATTTTATCATAACAATTCTCTTTTCCTTTCGGCAGAAATAAACCCAATTAGAAGTATTAAAACAAAAAGAAAAGAAGAAAAAGAAACCTTTTAGTTAACCACTGTTTCTGTGTGTGAAAGTGGTGAACTGCTACTGCGCAATTGAAATTGGCAAACTCTAATACAAATCTGCCACAATCCTCTCTCCTATTTACATTAACTAACAATTCCTCTCCAACTTCCAATCCTCAACCAAAGCAAAACTATGCAACCTAATCTCCTTATCTAAACTGAACACATCTAACCTAGAACTACAAAACACGCGTAATCAACAGAAACAATTGACTATCACTACCGTAAAATTTCTCATCACAACCTAATTCAGTACACAAATATTACTAAAAAAACTAGGAAACACCTAAATACATAGAGTTCAATTGATTGAAAACCAAAAATAAGAAAGAACATAAAGCGTGCAAAATTGTAATTAATTTTACCTAATGAGATTTTTGGATGTGATTCGAGGAGCCTTGATTGCAGCGCCGATCAAGCTACTACCGGTTATGTAGATCCCCCTGCACGCATAGGGCGAAGCGAATCAGCACGTGAGAACAGCGGAAACGGAAATGGAAACAGAAAAACGGAGACTGAAGGATTACCAGGCTGCGCCGAGGACGGAGACACCGATTGCGACGGCGATGCCGATGGCAGAAAAGGTGTAGGGCGAGATCGCAACGAGTGCCCTGCTCCAAGAACTGGAATGTGCCACCATCGTCGCAGACAAAGTGAACGTGTTGCGAACGGAATGGAAGGATGAATGATTGCGATTGGATCTCACAGCTGTTCTGTTAACAACGGAGAGAGAAGGGAAGGAACAGAAAGCAGTGTCGTTTAAAAATGCTATTAAAATATTGAATCAGAAAAAACGTGACGACGACGTTCTTACCTACAAGGACAAAACTTGCGTCTTTAGACGACGCGTCGTTTGATAAGGTGGAAAAAGAGTTTATTAGTGTGGTGATAATAATGAAGGCCCAAATGCAGGTTCAACTAGGTTTTGAGGATGGTGTAAATTAAATGAATTTTCTGGTATCGTTTTCGTTATATAAATATTTTTAATTTTAAATCGTTCTATAATATTTTATATGTATATATATATATATATATATATATATATATATATATATATATAATTAATTAAACCCTTACTCGTGGGACCGACTCGTCTTTGTTCCAAATTTCACGACAAAAAATCGAGTTAATCGGAAACGGAGGTGGAGATGAATAATGTAATTCCCACTTCGATCATGTCCCTCTCCCCGCTCGAATTTATATTTAAATTTAAATTTTAAAATATTAATATTTTAAAATATTTCTTTTTCTTTTTCTATTTTATATAAGGTTATTTTTTATATTTCACCATTCTTACTTTTCTTCTACCTATTTTTTAATTTTTTATATCAATTAGTTTATTATATTATTCTCTTTCTCTTATCTTTTAGTTTTTCACATTTCCATAATTTCTTCAATTAATTTGTTTTTTTTATCTTTTTCTAAATATTTTACATAAATATTAGTAGTAACTAATATTATTTTATTTATAATTTATATTTATTAGATTTTATTACGTCATTTTGGATTTTATTATTCTTATTTATCATATATCAAATTTTATTTTATTAAAATAATTGTATTTTAAAGGATTAAAAAAATTAATAATTTAAATTTTTATTATTTCGAACTAATTAAATAAGAATTAATTTATTTAATATTTTTTATAAGCTATATATTTCATATTTTTTAAATGAAAACTTAAAAATAATTAATTTATATATATAATTAAATATTTGAATACGAGTATTATAATAATAATAATATAAATATTTTATATATATAAATAAAAAATAAATAAATATTTCTTTTATATACATATTTTAATATAAATATAATAAATTTAAATATATATTTAATTAATAATAATTTCAAATTATAAATATTTATTTATATATTAAAAATACATAAAAATAGTAAAATTAATTTATATTTAATATAATTAGTTTTTTAAAATAATATAGATCGGGGACGAGACAGAAGTAGAAAAACCTGAAACCGAGTAGAAATGAAAATGAAGACTTAATTTTTAACCCCCGCAAGATTGAGACAAAGACGTTAAAAAAGTCAAGAGCGGTTCGAGGAGGCAAAACCTATCTCATCCCGCCCCACCCGTTGCGATGGTATAAATGCATGTGTGAAATTCATCGTTTCAAAAGTGAATATGAAGAAGCTTTTACATTAATATAAATTTATCTATGGGTATTTTGGTAATAAAAAAAGACTTTTTTCATAAATAATATTATTTTAAAAAATATTTCTCAAAATAGTATCTCTACAACATTATTTATCCATCTAGCATTATTCACTGTTTAGAGAACCGAATTTTGAAGTACCATTTCTATTTTTTTTCGGTTAGAATTCGGTCCCTGGGAACCGAATTCTGAACTAGTTTTTTTAATTTTTATTTTTATTTTTTTTATTAATTTTATAAATAGATTTTATTTTTATAATTATAAATATAATTTATTTTTAAGTTTAAAATTATTATTTTAATTTATGCAATATATATATATATATATATATATATATATATATAATTTGAAGTTCATTTATATAATTTTAATTTATGTAATATATATATATATATATATATAATTTATTTAACATTAAAAATAGATATATTTTTATTAATTTTATAATTATATTTTTTTTAAGGTTATAATTCTAAATATAATTTTTTTAACTTTAAAATTATAATTTATATAATTTATAAATAGTTATTTTTTAATTTTAATTTGATATATATTTTTTATTTGTAATTATTTAATGTATATTTAAAGTAATTTATTTATATGTTTATATATATATATATATATATATATATATATATATTACTTTATAATTTTATTTGTATAAATAAAAAATAATTATTCTAAATTAATCCAAGTAAAGAAGAAATTTTATTAATTGAAAAACTCATAGGTTTCATAGTACATTGGGGCATTTTTTAACTAACACAATCTAATGATGCGAAGTAGATGCACGTACAACATTGAAACATGTTCTTCTGCTATGACTAGGGTTATGACAAAATGAACATGTTTTCATCCTACTTTGATTTTCTGTAATATTCATCTCAGTTCTTATACGGCTTGATTTTGGTTGACACTTTGAAGTTCTTTTCATTTGTTGATTTGCACACAAAGGAGGTCCTGTGTATGTTGGCCAATATTCTTCATTTCGCAGCAACCAAAATTGTGTTTCATATACCTTTGAAAATTGTTGTAAGGTATACACTGTTGGCAAATTTTGGGTCATGTATATATATGATACATAATTTTAATATGTTAGGGTCATTATTTATTAAGCCAAATAATAAAGTGATCTGACTAAATTAAAGTTTTGACTAAAGGCATATGTCATGAAAATAAAATTGTGTAGAGACCATTGAACAGTTTCTAATTTGATGAGGGGTCAAATTAGAAATACTAAAACTTAAGTAATTAACCTAATTCTGGTTATCTAAAGGGTCATGGTCCCCTTCTGGGAGCACACACAGAACGTAAGTATCAGTCTCGTTCCTTTCTTTCTATCCCCATCAAGAGAGAAAATTAAGAGGGAAATACAGGGACTCTTCAGGTGGAAGACCATAAGATCAATATAGTGCTCTACAAAGACATCATCATTATGGCTAATTCAGGTACGCTTTCGCATTCAGTTTACAACATGTTTATCAGTATGGGATTACGTTTATGTTTGATCATTAGAATCAAAATCAGTATTATTATTATTAATTTTCTAACAAGTGGTATCAGAGCCAAGGTCACGAGTTTGATTCCTAGTGGGCAATTGTTGAGGGGGAGATTGTTGCGAGTTGCACAATTGTCTCGTGGCGAAGGTCGGGTGGGCCGAGTCAAAATTTCGATTCCTAGTGGGCAATTGTTGAAGGGGAGATTGTTGCGGGTTACACAATTGTCTCGTGGCGGAGGCCAGGTGGGCCGAGTCACAATCCAAGAATGGGATACCTTGTATGAGAATTGCTGAGGGGGAGATTGTTGCAGGAAGCATCAATTGTCCTGTGGCGAAAGCCAGGTGGGCCGAGTCACGATCGAATCGTGGTGCTTGGGCTGTTAAAGTAAAAAGAGTTGTGTTTTGACTAAAAGCTATAGCTTTTGGCCTAGTGGTAAGCACTCGATCCTAACAATTGGTATTAAAACCACCCATATTTGATTCATGTCTGTTTTATTTATAGAACCCTAATTATGAAAATTAGGATTAATTTTATTTTAAACAATTCAAATTACCCAATTTTATGAACCCTAAGTGGAGAATAATCTCCAATTTTCATGAACCCTAAAATTTAAATTTGGGGGTAACATCCTCATTCTGCTTGCAGATGGAACCGTGGAGGAAGCTATGGATTCTTCTTCTTCTTCATTTTTTCCCTTTTGTTTCAGTTTAAGTTTCAAGTTTTACTGAGAAAGAAATAGTATTTTAAATCTCAATCTTTCTTGTATTGGGTTCTCTGTTCTCTTTGAATCTTTTGTTTTTTGTTTTTATTTAATTTTCTGGGTTTTGTTTTGGTTTTTTTTCATGGTGAATATGGATGAGTTTGGAATTAGGGGTGGTGTTTGGGGAGTTCCCAACACAGAGAATCTTAGGTAAATGGTGAATGTTTCCACAGGTGTGACTGTTCTTATTTCATTGCCTTTAGGAATAGTTGATGTTAAATTCCCTGTTTAGAGTTTGAGTGATTACTATTTAATCCCCTTTTAGGGTTTAGAGCAGTGTGTTAAAGAGACTCAGAACTATCTCTGTTTCATCCCTAGTGTGATTTTAGGGAGATGTTCATCCTTTATACATTGGTGGAAAAAGAGGTGTTTTTCATCCTTTGATTTGTTCAAAGGAGGTGTTCATCCCTAATGGGATTATAGGGAGGTGTTCATCCTTAGTGGAATTCTAATGAGGTGATTATTTTTTGAATTAGTTTGCAAATATTAAATATTTGGTTTTGTTATATAAATAAAATATTCAATTTTTTGGTAGTTTAATATTTTTTGTGAGCAAATTGAGTCAAGAAGTCACCAAAGTAACCTCTCTTGAATTGGGCAGTTCATGAAAAATATTGAATGTTAGTGTTTGTGTATATTCATGCGAGTATTAGTCGGCCCAAAGAAAGATTAATATTTTTTTCGAATTGCATACACACTTGTAATGATAAACATGTGATAATTATAAGGATTTGCTTTGTCGATGATAAATCAATCCAAAAACTGGTTTATTGTTGGACGTGATTTATTGTCAATGTTTGATTATTACAACAAGATACCTCTAACAGTTAATATTACTGTCAAAAGACTTGATATTGATGGTGCATTGGGTGTCTTGAGATGGGTTAAACCATTATTTGAATATATATTTATAATTATTTATTTTTTATATAATGTGAGCATAATTAGTTTATTTCTCGTGTTCTAAATTCAGCTATAATTGTTTATGTATCTACCAATTTAAATTATGTTCCAATTCTCAAAAGTATGTTTCCTACTTTGGTGCTGTTCGAAGTCAATTTAGTGTCAGTACCTAGTAACACTTGGTGGTTAGACTCAGGTGCAACTACTAACATCAATGTTTCTATGAAGGGTTGCCTAAGCTATCGGAAGCCAATTGATTATAAAAAAAAGGATATATGTTAGAGATGGCAAATCGGTAGAAGTG